ATTTATATGACAATAAATGTAGCCTAATTTGGTTATGATGGTTAGATGTCTTTTTTCTTTTTTAACAATCATAATATATTTTAACTGTCGTGTCTTGCTTGCTTTTCCGTGAACAACTGCACAGAAATCATAACTGGGACTAATGAAATTCAATAATAATGGCAATCGCATTTAACAGTAAAGGCTCATATTTGAATATGTTCTTTTCATTTATGAAGAATTATAAGCGTGTGTACGATGTGATTTAGCCGATGCACATTTGTCCGAAAGCCTGGCAGAGTGATCACAAGATGCTATGCTAAAGTTTTGTATTGTTTTCAGAAAGGATGCACGTTCTCATCTTTTTTTAATTAATTATTACGTTGCGCTACGTGTCTGTTTTTCTTCAAAGCACCAACTTAAAATGCCTAATTTTGGTTTGATTGCTTGTGTTACATGAGAAAATAAAAAAAAATTCCTACTTGATGTAATAGATTTAATGCGTGTGCGGTTCGGGTCGCGACTCGCACGGTCTTTATGTCAAATGGGTCTGGTCTGGTACAGAATTAAATTAGTGCTGCTGTTGGATAACGGGTCGAGTGTTCTGTTAAGTACTGCTGGTGCACGTTTACCAAACAGGACCCGTGCAGGACTCTGCTTTAAACTGCTTTGCGTCAGAGTGAGGTGACAATGACATTGCAATGCTTTGGCATATTGACACCAAACTTTGCATGAGATACAGCCTCAAGTGTTATTTTGGCATCATGCCTCAAATTCGTTCCCGTGGTATATGAAAACGACAGCAACAGCATGACTTATAACAGCATGACAGAACTTTATATAAAGTTCTGTCATGACAGAATAGATCTTCTACGCTGCTATCTCCCCAGTGGGTCTCAGGGTTACAGTGGTGGCAAACCCTCCAGGGAACAAAACCCTCGGGGGACCATCGCTCCTCTTGCGCTCCGCAACCAGTCGAGCTGCCAAAGGAACGCACTGGGCCATCTTCAAAGGGCGTACCAGTGGTATCCTTCGGCGATCCTCCTGATGACCGGATGTCGATTGCTGCATTGGAGAGGGAGCTTTCTGGAGAGGAAGATTCAGCTGCACTGCCACCCTCCGGGATGGTGGCGAGGCCTGAACTGGATCCGGAAATGGCAGCTATGCTTTCCCGGGCCGCTGAGAGGTAGGGCTCGAGTGGAAACCTCCACCGTGTCCCGAACCCTTGAGGTTGGATAATTGGTTTCTCAGGGTGGCTCGTGCCCCGCCCCGGTGCCTTTCTTCCCGGGGGTAAATGAAGAGCTTACCAGGTCGTGCACGGCACCTTTTACTGCCAGAAACTGGCCTGCTAGTACCTCCCCCTCACCACCCTTGACGGTGGTGCAGCTAAGGCAAACCGTGCCTCCCCTCCCAGGCCCGTAGGTACTTGTCTGGTACCGGCAATGCTTATGGGGTCTGTAGAGAGGCTGCCTCCGCCTTACATGCTACGGCAGTTACTGCAGGTGCTAAAGCACTGAGGGACCTGCACGAGGGTGGTCACGATCTGGAAGTTCTGAAAGAGCTCTGAACCGCAACTGACCTCGCGCTCCGAGCGACAAAGGTTACCGCGAGTTCTCTGGGTCATGCGACACCGACAAAGTTCAGTTCCTCAAGGCCCCTGTGTCCCAGACCGGCCTCTTTGGCGACGTGGTTCAGAGCTTTGTCCAGCAGTTCTCGGCTGCACAGAAGCAGACTGAGGCGATTCGTGATCTGGCACCTCAGCCAGTTGGGTCAACTGGGAAAAGAGCAAACTCTCTCCGACGCAGAGGATCTCTTTTCTCGGTATGGAGTTGTATTCGGTCGCACAGACAGCACGCCTCGCAGAGGAATGTGCTTGGTTGGTGCTGAACTGCCTGAACTGGTCAATCATGTGTCCTTGACCTTCACTGTGTACATTTTTATTATACTGTGTTGTAAATAAAATACAAATAATAACACAAATAATAAAAAAAACTCATTATTTTACTCTCCTCACACTCTTTCTTACCTGCCTCAGTCACATTCATATTGATGGCCCATTATGGGAGGCCTTTTGTCTTTACAGAACGTTCCCTGATGGTTATTTTTAGGTTATATTTTGCAACCAGAAAATAACATTCCCAGAACGCTGCAGGGTGGTTATTTTTAATAACCCTATATTTTTAATTTTATAAGTCCTATAATAAAATATAGGACTTAGATGATTAATCAAACCGTGGTTTAAATCAAAATATTAAGCCAGGGCTAAGCATAGAGTGATAACAGAACATAAATTTATTTTGTGGATTTGTTTCTTCTTTTTCTTTTACTGCGCACCTCTGATGTGCACGCGCTTTCATCACGTGCAGCACTTGTCTTCCACAGAGAGCCGCGTGTTCGCGGAATTTAAAAATGAACGGTCATTTCGTTTAACTGACTGACTGACTTGCTCGTTCATCGACCTCTTTATCGAATGATTACTTCAAATTAATATAGTTTTGAGTGTAAATATGATTTTGGAGGGATTTGACATGCCTAACCGAAGAGAACATTATGTTTATCGAGAAGTTTTTGTTTATTGACCAAAAGAAGAATCCCGCTGGACAAACTGTAGGCCCATACTTCTGTGATAAGAAATTAATGTACTGATATCCTACTTTAAGTCAAATAATTGTTAATTTGTTTTTTTTATGTCTAAATTTCATATTTTATTTTCATAGATTGTGTTGAAGTAATTGTTATTTGGTGCTGAAGAAATGTCTGGGTAGCCTGTATCTTTGTTAATGGACAATATGATGGTTGATGTGCTTAGATCATTTTTATGAATTAAACAATAAATAAAAACAAGATGCGTTTTTTATAATACTGATTATAGGTGTCCATACAGATAAATTTTCCATGCCGCTTATACTATATACTAAAGCCCTATTCGCACGGGATTAGTATTATCTGGGGCCTTGTGTGATTTTGAAATTACCCCCCCCCCCCCCCCCCCCCCCCCCCCCCCCTCCCTTCCGGGGGGGGACGAGCCATTCTCATGAGACTGTACACTTTGATTCGTTGCGGAACTTGCTAACTAGCACATTATTAGGAAAGGCGATTTGCAAAGGTTAAAAAAAAAAACCCCTTATACTCACTTCTTCTGTAGATGAAGCTGGATCACGAATGATTTGCGTGAAAATAGATGCATTTATGTTGATCGGGGGCACATTCCCATCAAAAATTACGTGTGGTGCATTCGCACGGGATAAGCGAAGCCTGTGATTTTACTCGAATCTACTGACTTATCTCCCGGATACCCGGAGAATGAGCTCTAACGCATGTGTTTGGTTTCGTCAATTTGGTGAAAATATCTCATTGCATTGAAGAGCTATAGGCATTTTAGTAAAACTGGCTCCGCGTCCTTCAAACATCTTGCCGCCCCTTAGAGACCGTGAATCAAAATAAATAGAATCTTGCTAAACTTGTTTGGTTCCGATCGGGCCAAAAACCTAGGACTAGTTAGCAAAAGCAGGTTTTTCAATAAATCTAAAATACCCCAAAATTTTGCATGCATTTTGTCTGCCTTGAGCCAAGGATTTCAAGGATATTAGACACTTGAGCCTGCACCTATAATGGTTTGGGAGGTATGATTTCATACTTTTGGCCGCTGTAGCACCCACATGAGGCCGATTGGGGCGAGCCTTGGTAACGTAGATGGTGTGAGTACTACCAGCCCTCAAAGTTTCAAGTCTCTATGACTTACAGTTTGGTCTGCAGTTTTACGTGGGGAATGCTGCATCATGGGAAATCGAACAATTACAATAGGGTTTCAACGCTACACACTTGAACGCCTAATAATAATAATAGCCTATCTATATTCTATTATTTAAACAAATTCTATTTAGAAATTGTATTAAATTATCCCCTTCTACTGGGTTCAAAAGCTTCTTTAATGTTAACTGTTGATCAACTTAATTCTGAAATTCTTAAGTTTACTTTTTTACCTCTGAATTTTTATTACACTGGATAAGTACATGTTCCAACATCTCTCTAAATCCACACCTATAACACAATCCTGTAGGATGTTTTCCTATTATATGCATTGTTGAGTTAAGTCCTGTATGTCCGAGCCTAGAAATAATACAGTCTTCCTTCCTTCTCAATGGTTGTATTAAATGTAGATGTCTGCCCTTTTGCTCACTGACCAAACATTTTCAATAAAAATCAATATCTAAACTTAATTCTCAAAAAACAAGGGTAGACAAATGACAGAAATAAAGTACTATGTGCTGCCTTTTAATTAGAATGAAGAAATTACTCATTTGCACATTACTGTTATTGCAAAAGCTTTAAGTTGAGCAATATATTAAACAAATCTTAATGCATCCAACATCAGCAGACGAGAAAGCTGCACTTTACTGACGCTTATAATGTCAAATGACCAAAATAAATGAATAAATACATTAATAAATAATAATAATAATAAGAATGTTAAGTCTTTAGAAAACCTGTGTAAAAAATAGTATTATTTCTTTATGAGATATCTCTTTCTTTCAAGTGTGCTAAAAATGGGTTCATTAGCCAAAGGTTTTAGACAGTACACATTGATGCCATCTAGTGGTGACAATGATGAATAAGCAAAAGCCTGATATAATCGAGCTGGAAACGTGCACACACACACACACACACACACACACACACACACACAAAAGAGAATAAACATATTTTTAAATGTGCTTGTGTTCACTTGCACAAGACTTGTGTTTCACCGTAACTTTCTGTTTGTTTGCAAAACTTGGGCTCTTTTAAAGCAAAAGCGCATTTTATGGAGAACTCAAAACATTTGCGAGAGAAAGCAAGAATATAGTTTTCCTCCCATCTCACACTTAATCCATCACCTTGTCCCTTTATGGACTCTGTAGACTTTAAATATTTCTGCTGATGTCAGCAGTAACATTACAGTTAAACATTATCTAAGATCTTAACTGTTCAGCCTGTTTTGGGCGGGACTGAAAGAGTGGAAGAGGAAGAGAAGAGGAAAATGTGCTGCTGTTTTTCTGCCGCCACCATTTTAGCTCACTTTAAAGTTTAAACAATACACAACTTGTTTGGATTGATGGTTCTGTACATGTTAAATGTAGTTTAGTCTTTTTAATGTTACTGTGAAGCACAGTTTCTCTGTTTGAGCAGTACCTGTGGAGGTTGAACTTCTCCAGTTTCATCGCAGTACTTTATTACGTCGCAAAGCACTCAAGAGCTCGGATCAGGACTGCAAGGTGGGTCTAGTGTTAATAGTGTGAACGTGTGTGCTTGTTTGTGTGCTCTATAATGTACAGTTTGTAAGTTGTAACTGGAGTTGTGAGTGTAGTGACATGCAGTCAGAGGGCGTGACCAACATTTCAGAAAATGAAGGAGACTTCATGGTGTAATAATACCAGACTTATTTTTTTATCTCTTATAACTTTACCTCACTTCACCGGTGAAGTGCCCGGTCAACCCAAAGCTATCTGTTTCTTGTTCAATCTATTGACATTACAGTAAAAAGTTGCATTAGAGCGTTAATGTAAGAAAACCCTACATATTAAGACATCAGAATGTGAATGCATACTCCTTAATTGGAAATCAGTTTAAATGCTTCATATGCATACTACGGACAATGATGTTTCAGTTCTCTGCCTTTTCTGTTGAATTATATAATGTTAAATTGGCAGGGTTAAATGTTTTCCTCACAGGATACTGGCAGTACAGTATTATTCTAAACTGCTACATAACATTTGAAGAAATTATAGCAGACTGCTGTGAATCAGTCATTTTATTTGATACAGAAATGTTCATTACTTCGGTTAGTATAATAGGGTCAGTATTGTAAAAGCAAACCATATGTAATTACGTCACACGACACTGAGTGATGTGAGACAGATGTAATAGCTGTAAATGAATGATTTAACATGAACAATTTGTATTATAATTTGAAAACATATTTGTTGAAATAAAAGGCATTACAAATATACACTAAAAATAAGTACACATTTGTGCAGGTAGTTAATATCAAAGCATGCTAATTATTCATGAAGAAACCATTATGAGCAGCTAGATATAATGAATGAGAACAAATTGAACTGAAATGTTTTGTTAATAGCTTCAGTCACAAATAAGTGAATATTTAATGTATTCATGTAATAGCTTTGAAAACATTACTGTTAGTCCCAACAGTTTCACCCTTTTAGTGCATTTCTAAATAATAAATCAGTGTTTCCCAGGCAATGCACAACCTAATCAAATATATAGCCTGTATGGAATTGTTATTATTTGTAATGTATTATTTTTTATGTTGTGCTATATTCTTTACTACATCATAGGATTAATCCCAAGTACAGGGAACACACTTTAAATAAATTCTCTGAACACATCACAAGCAACTTGAACTACCTCTTATAATTACTTTTGAGTAAATTGAGTTCAGTTCATTTACCACTTGCTATTCAGGTAAGGTCATAATTATTAAACTACTAAAATCATTATGTATAAAAAAAAGTTCAGCTAGCCAGTCAACATTATTATGAAACAGAGTGATGTTGCAGTATTTAACAGCGGGGTGCTAATCGTGCTAACCAGCCAAACTTAATAAAATCTAACCCAATAATGACCCAGTATCGGAATTCTTAGGAAGTGTCTCATCTTTTCACCTCGGCATCACAATTTTCTTTACCCTCTGAAGTTTCAACATGAACACTTGCAACCTGGTCACATTTTATCATGTTCACATTTGTAGTATTTCATGTTCCCATTGTAGCATAAATCATGTATGCTTACTTTCGTGTCACTCTTAAATCTGGTTCGATCAAAAACATGTACACTTGTAATCCAAAAGGCATTATATGTTTTAATGGTTTATTTTTATCACCAAGTGGAAGCACTTTTATCATGCTAACAAACTTTCCTTATCTTCAATCAATTTCATTATTCAAAATAAATGGGGGCATGTTAGATGTGGTTGCCCTGATGGTCGGTGCAACAATTGGTGAATAGTTGTATTATGTGATAAATGACTATATTATATACAAACAGAAAATGTATTCACTTTTGTTTTCTTAATCACAGCAACAGTGTCATCATTTATTCACCCCCACTGATGAAGCAGCATGGATGAACCTCTCACTATGGCGTAAGAGATTGTTCTTATTCATTACACACTTAAATCAAAATGTGATTTTTTTCCCGCTTTATTGCTGTTAACTCGTCAGTCATCAATGGCAAGAGACAACCACAAGAGAATGGTTATGTAGGTTATGAGAAGGGAACGAGATGCTGCATCATGGCTACATCATGACGCTGTGTGAACGATCCTACATGAGCCGGTGTCTGAAGCACACCGCTAAACACCCCAAAGGAAAGAAGGAAAAACTCCCGTGTACGTGTGGACATTTCCCTTTGAAGCAGAACTTTGATGTTGTATCATGGTGTTTGTTAGCAGGGCTCTAGACTCATTCTTCCCACTGGTTGCTCTTTTGCGACCAACTTTCTCAGTTGGTCCCACAAGCACATAATTTGGTCGCAATTTTTTAATGATTGATTTATCCCATGTTGTAGCAAAAAAATAATAATGTATGCTGATGAACTTTTATCACAGTTTATAGTTATATGGTAATGAAAGTGGTTAACATTCAACCCATTCTTTCATCATCAGTATTATTTGGATTTAAATTTTGTGAAGAGGAATTCCTCTTTTTGCTATGCTACGTTAAGGTTTTACAAGAAAATATAATTGTCTGTTTTGCTTACATCTATTAACCTTTCACTTTTTAAGATTAAAACAAAAGATGGATTCATTGTTATTTTTAATTAAAAAGCACAACAATAAAACAGTAGGCTACAATGACAAACTAGCTTACATAACGTTCATTAACAAGATGATTCTACACCACATGCTGTGTTATATACCGACTAATAAATTAGAACATTTAGCAAACACTGAGGAATCAAATAAATACATTTAAAAAATAAAAAGAAAGCCAGCTTAACGTGAGGTAAACAGCAAAGATAACAAGCTTTTGAAAATGAAAACAAAAAATAAAACTGAACTTGCTGTCGGTGACATTGCTTGCAATTTTTACAGAAGAATACCAACATGTTCACCTTCTCTGGTTTTAAGAAACGGACTTTTACTTACTTTAGCGTGAACATCGAATCCTCCGTCCGCTATCGTTTGCTCAATATTCGCGTAATTTTTGCCGCGCACACCTTAGCACCTAAACCATAGACTGTAAAACCAGACTCTACACCTGAAGCACTCACACTGAAAGCCTCTCTTCACGTGAACATTGAAATGAGTCCTGCTACAATGTGCCGCAGCTCTGCAACGCGCGCTGTATGGAGCAGACGCTTTGGAGCATGCACTCGCACAAATGCGACCACCTCAAATATTAACTCGTCTCAAAAAATTGTCGCAGTCTAGAGCCCTGGTTAGAGAGAAAGATTTACATTATTTTAAAAATTTATAGTTCTATACATATTTTGGACAGTGGGGTGCGACATTATTTTAGATGCTGTGTCAGTGATGTCAAATGGTTGCATTCATTGAGCTGCATGCGCTACCTCTTACTTTTTTTACTACAACACAGTTTCTCAGTGTGTTTCATGTGACATATCAGATGATTTTTTCAAGTCAACTATACAAAAGTAGTTCAATCCATAAAGTTACCTTGAACAGCTATAGCGAGAAATTGCAGCTCCTTACAGCAAATGCTCTCCTCTCGGTTAGCATCAACAAGCAATAGCCACAGGGGCTTTTGCACTGTGTAGTTCTAGGAACTCAGTTATAGGAACTAGCCGCTAGGACAGATCTTGGAGAATTAATTTTCTACCCAGCTGTTTGTTGCATTCACACCAGCAGTAGGAACTCTGAAGCGGCAGACAGCGGTGTCTTTAAGTGGGGCATTTACAAAAGTGATGTTTCTTTAGGGTATTTCTGAAATGTCTGTAACATATTTTGGTTAAAATTCCTCAGCGGTTGTGAAAAAAC